CACTGACGAAAGTGTGCTCGACATAGCGAGCCCAAAAGTTTGCCTTATAGTTTTTATCTATTAGCTTTGCTGTCAGTTCTAATATTGTCTGCCTGCAGTGGCTAACGGAATTTAGTCCAAATATTTACATAAAATTTCGGTCTGTGCCTATGCCCTTGAACACTGATCTGCACCAAATTCAAAATATGATTTAAAAGGAAATTAGAAAAACCTACTTGTTTTTTTTTCGCACCACACTGATGTTCGTCCGAGAAGAACCTCCTTAGCTCCTATTAAACGCACACAGGATATTACGTAAATCACGCTGACCATTCCCTCTGTACCCTCTTTCAATTTTAATATTAAGAGAGCCAGGTGAGCGTGGTCCTTATGTTTAAACCAATGCGGACAGCTTTAAAAAGGTACTTGCAAACATAGCTGCCGTACTTTTGGGGTTAAGCCTGAAGATCATTTTATTTTGGATAATAAGTTAATTTAGAAGGATGTGCTCTACGTCAGCTTGTATATGATGTCACCCGGTGAAAACAATTTTACGTAATCCAAACCCATTTTTTCAAGGTCATCTTTTTTGCATTTCTCGAAAGGGTTGATGGGTATAAAGATAGCTAACTCATAGCCTTTAATATTCGGACTTACACGGGCTAAAGCCTTTTGTCGCTTTGCAACCCCACGTAAGCTAGGATGTAAGCCTGTTTTTGCTTCGTAAAAAAACTTAGAAAACAGCATTAGCCCTCAGATTTTTCCTGGCAACCCCATTTTAATGACAAACTTCTGTTTATATGAAAATTTGATGAATGTAAGATTTAATAAGTCTATATTTGCCTATGAATGTACGCATTGGGTATTCATGCCTTGCAAACTACGTTGGTATTAATAATCCGGAGCTTCCGCTGCCTCCCCGCCTGTTCTTTCTAGATATTTGCTAAAAAATTATGTTAGTTGCCAGTGATGGACGCTGAACATAAAAAGTCGGAAAGTGAGGGTGAAGCCCGGGTCGAACCACAGGCTCACGCGGTCGAACCCGAACCCCTTTCAACCCTCGAGGAGAAAAAAGATTACGAAGAAGAAGAAGAGGAGGAGGAAGAGGAAGAAGACAAAATCGTTGAGAAGTCACACAATGGACGTTTTCATAAACGAAATAAACGGTTTCCAAAACAAGTTGCAGGTGTCGACGACACCTTTATCGCGATCGAACCGAAATCAGGGAAGGAAGTTATTTGGAACGAGCGAATACTTCCAGAGAAAAAAACGGAGCGTGAGGTAATCACGTGCAATTGCATCTAACATTTTCTTTTTCAAGAATCGATTTCTCGCAGTGGTTAAGAAACTAAAGCGTCATGCTCATCCTTTTCTTGTCCGATTCTTGGATGCCTGGATCACCAAAGGTGATTGCGGGCCACGAAAAATCGTCTTTATTACTGAACGGTTGGACGAATGCACTCTGAAACAATATTTGTGCAATGCCACAAGGACGAAACTTGTATGCTTGCGTTTCTTATCACTCATTTTGCAGCTTTGGAGACGTCACATCGGACAGCTTCTTTCTGTTGTCATTTTTTTGCACCACCTTGGCGTCACACACGGCAATCTGACAAAGGAGACTATTTACTATCAAAATTCTGGTTGCCTCAAAGTGGGACCATGTAACTAATGCATTTTCCATAATAATCCTTTTCATTCTCAAGTCGTACTGGATGGATTCTTTGGTCAGAGATCTCTGGCAACCGACATTCTGGCTCTCGGTCTTGTTGCCCTTGAGGTAAGCGAAATGGAATTAGAGACTGTGTTTTCGCTGTAGTCGATAGGGCTACATCATATTTTTGTCTGCCACGCTAACGCAATAACTATAACGCCTGCAAATAAATTGTGATGTTAACATTTAGAGCAGAAATAGGTCCTCCCAGCACGTGCTAATTTTTGCGCTGTTAGTACTTGTAATCTGTTTCTTCGAAAAACAAAATCACTGTCGCCTTTGAGGCTCTGGGTCTTTTTCTACCTTAGCATACTTGCTGCTACCTGCAGGATTTGTAAAGATGAAAGTATTACTTAAAGTTTTGACCGAGAACCCATACTAGCTCATTGCCACTTCGGGGGTGGGAGACGGGCGTCAGGCTTGCTTGTTAATTATGAGTTGTTT